CGCGCATCGCTAATTAAAGTGCGAGCTTAAAAATGTAATTGAATGACTATTCTCTTAATGCACCCGAGAATTTTGGAGTAAACGACACACTTGCATGAACCTGAAGGCATAATGATACCGAGCAGAGTACATGTATTCTGGAGTTGAACGTCTCGTGGGAAAGATACTCGGATAGGAAGAGTGAACGAAGGTGGGATAAGTTTAAATAGGTCCCCTGGAAATTAGGAGAAGAGACTTGAATTACCTCTTGAATATTCATCCACACGGATCCACGATACATTTGCTATTTTTGCCATGTGTTCCTGTCTCAGAGAAAATGACAAGGAGAGAATGAAATGCTCAGGATTTTTCATCTAAACGTGTTGATATGTGTATCGAGATGTGTATTCCCCTCAATCCAATTAAATTTCACTCTTCTGATAATAACGGTTATATGTTCAGTGCAATTAAAAAAAATTCCAACAGTGCAGATTTTTTTTCTGCGCACAGGAGATACCAAAAAACTTCAATTACTATCAAGATAAGCTTCATTAACTCTCTTAATCCTAACTCACTATTCTAGAATTCCGTTGTGCCAGTCCATTAAAAAACCAAATGAAAATGCAAAAGCCTTGGCATACCACAGTCGAAAACTAGACCAACCGGAGGATGAGATGAATAAAAAGAACCCCTCGAAAAGGTAAAACGTCTGACTTTAAACAACTTCCGGGTAAATTAGGAAAGATAACTTGTATATACGACTCTTTAAGTATTCCTCAACGCCTCAGCGTCGTGAGTAAACCCTCAAGATGGTAACTGTCCCCCTTCATCTCCTTCATAGCTGAGAGTTTCGCTTCTTCAACATTTTATTCCCATCACTCTACTCCACCCTTAGTCATAAATTCAAGTTTTGGGAACTTGAATATTCACTTTGGTGTAATTTCTCAAATCTCAGAATTCCAGGACGTCGTTATACAATTGTTAAACCCAGAGATTTTTTTCCCGATGAGAAAGTTTCAAATCCTCGAATTTTCAATAACTATCAGAGAATAAGATTATCATTTCTATGAAGAATGAAGAAATTTTAACTCAAATTCGTGCACGATTTTCATTATAAATTGAACCTGGGGGATAAGAATATATAATAATTGATATTCACAGGCTCGAATTTGAAAAAATTCCAGAGAGTACAGTTGGGGAAATTGCACGAAAGATCCAAGTCGTGTTCGCAATAGAAAGATGAGACTGGGATAGGAGCAGAAAAGATAGTGAGAAATCGTGCCGACTCGTTCAGAACATTCGAGCCACGACTCATTGCCACTTTTCTGGTTATATATTTCACCGCAGGCCGTCGTTCCTTCATAAATTTTGAAGAAACCACTGTCGCCCCGGCATTTTAACGATGTCGTGAGACCACAGTGGGTAGTCGAAAGAAAAAAAATTATTCGTAAAGCCAAAATTAATGGGAGCATCGGTGCTGAATTGTCAAAATGCCAAATTGCCCTGTCCAATTCGATTATGATGATTATAATAATTTCAAATAATTTTCCCTTTCGATCTAGATAATAATTGAGAAGATAATATTGTGGAATTTCTCTCCAAATCTATTTCTCCTCAATGGCCGCAAATTAATAGAGGACCTGTTTAATCTTCACGTTATTTCAACTCAGAGAAACAAGTATCATGGACAACTCTATTGGAATGGAGAATCGAATGAGGAAAGGAATCGGAGTGAAACAATAGGTCCCTCACAAAAGCTCATCCACCCAACCCTCACGATGTTATAAACTCATAACTCGTACCGTGGAAAAGTTCATCAACGTGGCTCAGAGCACACCAGATCAAATAGTGGAAGATGATTGACTTCGTTACTATACGTTTCGTTTCACGTTCCCATGATGATCAACTCCCCTTTCCCCTTTGTATACCCACATCGTTTAGCTCGTCCCCTCGCAGTTCCATTGAACAACTCGCAATTAATTCGTTCTGTTTACCCTATCCATTTGTTACAGGCATATAAACCGTGACATATGCCGAGTGATTATTCTGACGCGCTCGAGAAATTATTGGAACTACACTAAGAATAAAGAAAGTGGGAAATATGCACATATTTTTAATTAAGTTGGTGGAGTAGTAATTAAGCCTGTCGAATGTCTTTAATAATCCCACTAACTGACTTATTGAGAATTATTGAATGTGTAGAGGAAAGTGAATGTAGAGTAATCATCCTTTAATATCGAAAAATCATGACTGATTGGTACGACTTGGGTGAAATAGGGCTATTATTTATCCCAAAAAATGCCTTGAAAGATTTTAAAAAGTGCAATTTCACTCCGCCAATTTCGAGTAATTGGTCCGCACAATGAACGATTCTACCCACTCGCCCCTCAACTCTACACGAAAACCGTTTCATTAGTGTAATTTGACCAGAAAAAAACTCGTCAATCCAATCATCTTCTCTGAAAATCTCCGTAAACCCCCTCCTTAAATGATTATTTTCAAATTTAATTGAAAACTCTAATCAACCCTAAAAATTCTCAAAGTAGCAAATTAAAGCATCGATCTCAAAAAAAACATGTCGGTCATCTCCTCCAAAAGAAATAAATATATTTTTACCGAATGAATTCCCTAACTGAATATAAATAAAATACTTTTTCTGGGCGAATAAACCAGATCCCACCCCAAAATGCGGCTACCCCGAAAAATCGGAAATAAATCTGAAAGACTACTCACAGTTGTTGAAAGCCTCCAATTGTCGTACCGGCAGTCACAAATCACACGTGCACAACACAAAACAAAACCGAATCCGTCCCCACCGCACACAACCCCACATCAAACAAAGTCCTTGAAAGTCTGTGCAAGGCGCAGCACAAGGATACACCCAGGCGTCCCTCACACGAAATGAATAAAAAAAAAAACAATCCGTAATCCTAACCTCGAATTCACTGAATCCCCCTGGAGGATCCCACGTTCCTGTAACGGTGGTGCGTCGGTGCCGCTGTCAATAACATACGAGTGTCGTCGCGACGCCAGTGACTATCCCGCGCATGTACAAGTACTCGTGAACGTCAATCCCGCACTCACTTGTTTTTCCCCACTTCACATTCACCCGCTGACTTCACACGAATAAATGGTACTGATGCTACACGACAATATTCACTCACGAGTTCGAATCTAACGATTTATCGAAGTCATTGTTTTGACGGGTAACAACAAGTTCCGAAAGTTATGATACACGCGACGCAGCAACCACAATCCAACGTACACAACTGTCGCTTCACTACTGCCGTTCACTCTCTCTGGACTCCCCCCCACTAAACAGTAACCGGCGTTCCCAGGGCCGAGCCAATACGCATAGACGAGCTTCCCCCACGCCGCGCTTACCGCTAC